GTCCTTAGCTATAACCTTAGCCCCTTTATCTTGAAGATTTTTGACCGGTCCATTTTTCTGACCATCATTTCCATTCCTGTTGCTGTTATGTACATACAGGTTCAGTTGTGTCCATTTTCTTGGAGTGGAGCCAGCCCTCAACTCGCTCTCTTTGCAGAAGCACCCCTTGGACATGATAGGTAATCCTTTGCTTGGATATATGGTTAGTATTGTACATTGCTTGCATATATGGTTAGTAGTGTGGCTACATGGATCTCTTTTACTTCCACTGCTGTCAAAAAATAATCCACAAAAACTATCCTCTGTCTTTATATTGCAACAATATTAAAAAGCAAAACATGAATCTCTATCCTCAATCGGTTTTACATCCTGTGCATGGAACTATCCTAAGATTATCTAAGTTAATATTTATCTCTCAAGAAAGAATGAATCTCTACCCTCTGACTTTACATGTTCAAAGAAGTAGAAACATACTATATAAGTTAATATTTGGATCTTATGTTTTGCAGAAGCCTATATATATCCACCCTTCACAAAGGAAATTCATCTCAATCCATTGCCAGCGGTTTGAGTAGTGACCATGAAGTGAGCGATGTGCATTCGGGCAATGAAAGCCAAACTGCTACCCAAATCAGTGATACAGCCACTAAAGTACGTGGACTCAATTGTGTCAACCAGAATCCATGTGTTGCCTCAGGTATTGATGATGCAATGCACACTGAACTTCCCTGACAAAGAATTTCAATCTAAGGGGTGCCCTGTCTTTAAGAGCTAGATACGAGAGGAAAAATCCTACAATGTCAGATACTGATGATTGAGAACTTCTTTCTAGAACGAGTCAACTTAGACAATTCATATCTAAGCTTTTGTAGAACTTTGCAAAGCAATGGGTGTGTTGGTTTATAATTGTTTAATTACTAAGTTAGAAGCTATTTCAGTTTGTGTTTTCAAACAATATGCAGTATGTTCAAGCATGAAACTGCTTCTGTTTTTATCATGTTTGTGGATGCATGATGTCTCCTTTATTAAGTTGCAGTGATCCTTTTTCTTTACACAAGTACTCATGCCTTTGTCTTAATACCATTTTCCCAGATCACATGTTCATGTGCTATTTAGTAAGTTGGCTGCTTTTTTAGCCTCTTTTTGGAGGGATTTGTTGTAGCTTGCAGCATAGAGAAAGGCTTGAATAAGAATTGTTTAGTTGTTTAATTACTAAGTTAGAAGCTATTTCAGTTTGTGTTTTCAAACAATATGCAGTATGTTCAAGCATGAAACTGCTTCTGTTTTTATCATGTTTGTGGATGATGATGTCTCCTTTATTAAGTTGCAGTGATCGTTTCTCTTTACACAAGTACTCATGCCTTTGTCTTAATACCATTTTCCCAGATCACATGTTCATGTGCTATTTAGTAAGTTGGCTTCTTTTTTAGCCTCTTTTTGGAGGGATTTGCTGTAGCTTGCAGCATAGAGAAAGGTTTGAATAAGAATTCGTAGATTCAATATTCAGCTCAGCTTCTCCGACCTGGGTCGGGTTATAAGCTAGTAATAAGATATATACCGTTGATTGTTGATTTTAAGTGGCGCTAGATCTAAGGGGTTAGATTAAATGGTTTTCTGATTTTCCTACACTTTAATTGGTTTTTATCTTTTTTTTTATATGGATTTCAAAAAAAAAGTACAAATGAAAGAGGTTCGTTGTGATATACAAAATAATATTCATTTTCAATATATTTTGAGATTTTTTTGTACCACCCATACCACTCGTTACCACCTTAATACCACTATGTACCACCATTGTTTTTCACTCAAAATTTCAAAAAATTTGTGAGCATGAAGGAATTTATCATGATATATTAGATCTATAAATTTATTAGAAAAATTTTTCGAAACGAAATATACCACCCTAATATAGGATAACTAGCTAGTGGTAGACAATGATGAAAGTTGTAAATGACATTATATTCATAATATCATGTATTCAACCATTCTACATTATGATATATTCATACCGCCATGATACATTTTCATACCACCGTGGTATAATCTCATGTACTACCAGCATTACTACATAGTATGCATTGGTAACAAATGTCTCAAATTATTTTGTTCCAAAATATATCAGAGTGAATGTTATTTTAAAGAGGATAATTAATTTGATTTACCTATGCAAAAAATTAAAGTACGACTTAAAATGAAAGAGATATAATATGCTTAAATGAATTGGTTGAAAAGTTAGTTGTCTTCCATAAATGATAAGTGTAGGATTATGAATACCCAGTTGAGAATTAAGTCTCTCTGCAGTTTCAGGCCGTGGTTAAAAGTTAAAACCTTCATTATTGCTTTTTCTTAAGTAACTTTGACTCATTTGAGATCCAATAATTAGTGGGAACATTCATTTTATTTAAAATTAATATCTTAGCCTTCAATTCAAGTCCCACCTAAGCTAAAAATTTGATATGGTAATACCCACAATGGTAGTCCTACAACCCCGTGAAGTTAATTGCCTCAACCTATGCCCCATATGTTGGAGACATCGAGAGAGCATTGAACACTTATTTTTCAGATGCCCCCTGGCCATCCAATTGTGGACCTTAGTGGGACTGATCTACTTAATGATTCCGCCCCGACTGTCAATTTTAGTATATGGTGGCAACAATGTCCTGATCTCCGAGATCTACCAATTCCACATTCTCCAATGCGTCTGCTTACTTTGGAGGACCTGGAAGTCTAGAAATAAAGTGATTTTTGATTTCTGCCAACCTCATGTATGTTCCCTTGCCAGCCAATTTTACTACCAGGTCCTTGAAGTCTCCAATCTCCGCCCCCGCCACCCTTCCGCCTCCTGCTTTTTCCTCTTAATTCCACCTCCAGCCACCTAGAATTCTTCGCCATAAGACTTTTTGAAGTTCAACTTTGATGAAGCTGGTCGAGATGCTGGGTGCTCATCTGGTCTTGTTTTTCGTGGGTCAGATGGGGATGTGGTGTTGGCAGCCGACTTGCGTCACCAAAGAGTGGTCAACCCCGACCTAACAGAGCTCCTAGCAGCAAGAGACGCTATCACCATCGTCGCCTCAAGATCCTTGAATCTTGTGATTCTGGAAGGTGATTCCAAGGTGGTCGTCAAGAATATCCGACAAGGTGTCTTAGAAGATTTCATTCGGTGGTCCAGTGCTCGGGGAGTGTCGTTAGATCCTAGAGTCTTTGTCAATTTGTATAGAGTTTAGGGCGGTTCCTGGAACTGCCAACAGTGCTTCCCATAGAGTGGCATGTAAAGCATTAATATTGCCTCGTCTAGAGCTAGAGTCTTTCGACTTTGTTGGGTGGGTTCACTAGGTTGTTGCTTGTAGGGGATTCTTGGGTAGTTTTGTATTATTAACTCTTGTTCTCTCTTGGCATCACTCAGATATAAAAAACAAACTGTAGGATTATGCATGATTATTGACCTATAGGTTATTACTGGAATCCATTACCCAACGATGAACAACCAGAGAGAGAAAATAGGAGATAATTTTAAATTTAAATAAATTATTTATATTTAATGCATTTTTTTATATTGTACAAACTAACCTTCCATCTCAATAAATGTCATTCCTTTTTTTATGTACCATTAGATTTATAATGAGGCTGGATAAATTTATCTAATGATAGAGAATAACTTAGTCATTTGACTAAGCACCTCCTAATTATGGGTCTGCTCTCCAATTTATGCTTGTTGCTCTAGACATTAAGCTTAAAATCAGAAATAGGGGTGGCAGAACGGTTTTCGGTTAGCAGTTAACCGGACGGTTTCAACCGAACCAACCGGTTTTCGGCTAATCGAAAACCGTGTCTTTTTATCGTCGGTCGGTTGTCGGAGGAGAGGGGAAGAGGTTCGGCTAGACGACTAATCGGGGTCGGAAACCGGCGGTTAACCGGCTAACCGACCTCTCCTCTTTACTCCAAAATGACCCGCAACGACCCCCAAACCCTAGACCCTCTCCTTCGGCCTTCGCTGTCCACCAACCCCTTCCCCCTTCTCGCGCAGGCGACGCAGCGCCGCAGAGCGCAGGCAACCCTCGCCGCCGCCCGCGTTCCAACCCTCGCCGCCGCCCAACCGCGCGCTCGTCGCCGCCTCCACTAGCCACCCCGCCGCCTCCACCTCGTCGCTTGTATTTGGACCATAAGCTTAGGTCGGAGAAGGAGTCCCCGATAGTGGGACAAATTAAATAAAAGAAAAGGGAAAGGACCATCGACAAGTAGTGAGAAGGAAAGGAGTACCCAACATTGAGGAAATCTTACAACTAGCAGTCCACGAGGCTGACCACGTCTAACTAGATTTGACGTGTGACAGAGGCGATGACAAATCGGAGTTTTTAGAAAGATATGACTTTGGAATAAAAAATTAGGATATATTTAAGATTTGATACTCTAATTTGGTCCGAACTCTACATGAATAGACTACTTTGCACCAAAATTTTCGGAACTCCTAAAGATGTCTATGTTTTCAAAATAATTTCTCTAATTTGTATGGTATGTCAATTAACCGTCAACTTGGATAGTCAATACATTCGAGTGTCCGTTCATAGTGTTAGTCAGTCAGCAACCTTAACTGATGTGGACGGAATAACTACGGGTTGAGGCCTTGAAGGTAGGCAGCTGGATAATAGATTGAAGTAGGCAAAAATTGTTGAATTATCACTCATGGGTTGTGAAAGAAGTAAGATGATCATTTGTGCTAAATGCAATTTAAGTTTTGGGAAGACAAAGAATCAATTGAGGATGATCATATTTTACCAACATATCGACAACACAAAATTCATACGTAATACATGCAGCTTAATGACACTTAAGACACCACCTCATTTTTTAGGTATATAAGAGCATATTTCGACTCTTCTATTTCTTACTCAAAAAGTCAAAATCCCTCTTCCCTTCCCCTGTATTTCACAACACTAAACCAAATGAAGCCTTCAAAGTCTTCATATATCACTACTTGGCCTGGAAGAGATCATTCTCAAGGTATGGCTAAAACCCAAACCATAGCCTGGGTTAACCATCTCTTGTTGTTCTCTCTCATTGCCTTGACCCTAGTCTTCATCTCTTACTTCACCATTCATCATAACTCTGCTTCCCTCGCCAAGTACCTTACCGAGACTACTGCTGCTGGTGTTACATTCCAACAACAATACGCCGCAAGCAATGTGGCTGGAGGAAATACTTGCTCAGGACGTTACATCTATGTTCATCATCTGCCTACCCGTTTCAACGACGATGTGTTCAACAGCTGTCGCGATAGTTCGCTGCTCAAGAACCCTGATATGTGCCCAAACCTCTCCAACTTGGGATTTGGAGCTCAGGTCAATATTAAGAACCCATCTGGTGACCAGGGCTTGATCACGGAGAGATTGGCGAGCAGCTGGTACGCTACCAATCACTTCAGTCTCGAAGTCATCTTCCGTCACAGGTTGATGAAGAGCTATGATTGCTTGACCAATGATTCATCCTTGGCCTCCTTGATCTACGTGCCATTCTATCCCGGTTTCGACATTGTTAGACATCTCTGGGGGAATTACAATACAACTGTGAGAGATGCTCTAGGTTTTGAGTTGGTGAGCTGGCTGAAAAACCAGCCCAATTGGAAGACATCAGGTTTATGGGGAAGGGACCATTTCTTTGTTTCAGGCAGAATTGCTTGGGATCTTCGAAGACCAGATGACGATGATTCACATTGGGGAAGCAAGCTGATGCAACTTCCTGAAGCAATGAACATGACAATGCTTTCGATTGAGACAACTTCATGGAGCAACGAGTTGGGGATTCCATACCCGACATACTTCCATCCTCGTCGGGTAAAAGAAGTGCATCGATGGCAGAAGAGAATGACAAGACAAAAGAGGCCATACCTATTCTCCTTCGTGGGTGGGCCGCGAGCTAACATGACAGACTCCATCCGTGGGGAGCTCATAAACCAGTGTCTAGCTTCAAGGAGGAATTGCAAGCTGCTGAACTGTCATTCAGCCAATTGTACGAGTCCAATTGAGGTGTTGAAAGTGTTTCGGAACTCGGTCTTTTGCCTGCAGCCTGCTGGTGATTCATACACCAGGAGGTCAACTTTCGATTCCATCTTGGCCGGGTGTATTCCTGTATTCTTCCATCCCTTTTCGGCTTATACACAGTACATATGGCATCTTCCAAGGAACTACTCTTCTTATTCTGTTTACATACCGGAAAATCTGGTGAGAGAAGGGATAGTCAGCATCAGAATGCAACTGCTTCAAGTTTCAAAGGCCGAAGTAGTGTCGATGAGACAAGAAGTGATAAACTTGATCCCAAAGGTGATATACAGGGATCCAAGATCAAAATCGAAGGATTTTGAAGATGCATTTGATATTGCAATTAAGGGAATGCTGGAAAGAGTTGGCAAAGTAAGGAGACAGATCGAGGAAGGGAAAGATCCAGGGACTGGATTTGCAGAACCAGGTAGCTGGAAGCTGAAGCTTGAAGAAGGATGGTACAGGGAGAGATCGTGAGTGGGATCCGTTCTTCTGATATCTGGAAAAGAGAACCATTAATTGTTTCTGGCAGAGTACAAAAGAAAACCCATGATTTGTCTTGCTGAATAAAAGCAGATGAAGTCCATTTTCATGGCGAAGGGGGGAAATAAACCTGTTTTTATATTTGTAAAATCATCTATTACTGATAATGTGGAAAGTGAAATACAGGCGAGGAGAAAAAACTGCATATCTCAATTACATGAGTAAAGTGTAGCTGAAGTTTGAAAAACAGAAAGAGCACCAATGCCGTTCTTCAATTGTAGCTGTAAGCAACTATAGGAAGCTTAACATAGTGGCATGTACAACCGAGGGACAAAAATAAGACTATAGTATGAACATGAGCAAAACTTCTTGAGAACCAGCATTCTTTAGCCAGCCAAGCCAAGTAACCAATCACCAGCTTCACTCTTACATGTTGGATAGAACTTGGAAGCGAGACAAGAATGTATCTCTGTAATGTCAAGTGTCAACCATAAGACCTTACAAGGTAGAAGAACTTCTGGACCTGTGCACTTTATCTTCTTGAGGAGGATTCAAGGATGGAGATGAAACGGCAGCATGATACCCAGAAGAAGCAAGTTGTGCTAGTGCTGGAACTGCACCACCTATGCATTTTCCCGGAACAAAGATAACTCTGGTTAATATTCAAGAGAGTTTCTGGCGTTTTCCTTCTATGATGAATTATTATAGCAATATACTAGACCACAACTTTCACTAAAACATGCTGACCACTAGAATGCTGGAGCACATAAAAGAGCTTTGGACAACCATAATTCCCACATTCAGAGCAATGAATTGTAAACCAGCACTTTAATCATTCATTCAGGTCGGATATCAAACAGCTTCAACCAAGTGGATCAGCATCAGAGACAATCCTATATGGTGGAAACCAGAGAATCGACAGCATTTTGAGTACTAGTATTCAGAACCCAGTAAAAGATTGAATTTGATTTCTTCCTTTTCCATGGACAAGGAGATTCCGCTTGGAGCTAAGTGATACAAGTAGAAAGACTTCAAGAAAGCTAGAAGTGTTACCCAGTTAGATGCAAAAGTCACAGCTAGGAATCAGATGAAACATGGAACACTAGTTAAATCTATCTAAGCAAACAATCTTTATATTGATCTATTTTGGAAACGCAAACTTTAAAGGGGAGCATCGCTGACCTGCAAATCCGGCACAAGCTGAAGCGAATACAATTACTGGAGGTGCCTGCATATTAAAACAGTACATTTTTAAGTAGGAACTACCAACAAGAGAAGAACTGAACAAGGTAGATTAAACTCAGTCATAAGCATAACAAAGGATAATTTGTCATCACAATAAGCACGACTAAACTAAACCTACTTAGACTAACTACATAGCCAGAACAGTTTACAAAAGAAAAAAGCATTGATCTGCCGTTCATGGTTCAACACAATGACCAGGGATTGAAGCAAAATTCAGTTTCAGAACTAAGTAGATCTGAGAAATATGCTGTTCAGGCACATATAACTGTACCTTGCAAATGAAGGTATTCCAGACTAGCAGCAGAAAAAAAAGATAATCAAAGAAGTGGTACGAACTTACACCAATGAAGAAATGAACCCACATTGGTCCTTTTATGTACTTCTGAACTATCGGCATCACTGCATCACAAATTTTGTAGAGTTAAACAATTGGTGACCATCCTTTGACCAACAAAAATGCAAGAAATCTTGTTTTCATACCATGATTAAACCCATAGAATGCGCCAGCGGTACCACCAACAGCAGTTCCAATCTAAGCCAAATCAACAAAGGGATACAATTAGAATAATAGATGGTAAAATTTTCATAAACCAGGTAATGGTTAGATTACCAATTGGCATGACACAAGAAAACCCCATTCTCACACAAGTGTTAAACTAATATCAATAAGCTAAAGCTCCGGCCAACTGGTAAACAGTCAATTCATGGAGGAATCGATATGCGTAAGCTCACGACGTAGAATTGGCACGAATTCGGATAGTTCAGAGTATCCAGATACCGCTAGATTCAAAGATCAATATTCACCACTCACCCCTTATCATCCATAGAGAGAACAAAAAAGCAAGGGGAATCCTGGCAAATTCCCGTAGAAAAAGAGAACAAACCGAAACTTTACCATGGAAAAACTGTCTCGGAGCAGGGGTCGATTCGTCCAACCGCTAGTTTCCTGCAAAAATTGAATCGTCTCCACCATATGATCTAATGAGAAAAGAAAATGGAAGGAAGAGAAATTTTCAGAACGGGGAGATAACGAAAGAAGAACGGACTCACCGCTTCTTTGGTAAGAGGGCCGGCGCAGTGATGGCAGCGCAACCTTTTGAGAATCTCCGATTTCGAATCCGCCATTACTAACCGTCGTCTGGCTCCTTCCTCCGCAAGCTCCTCTCTCTGTGAAACCCCCAAAACCCTTTCTAGTTAAGATGCCAACGGCAACTCAGCCGGGTCATGGTCCGACCAGTTCAATCAAACGGTGTCGTATCATTAGGCTAGTAGGACGGGACACGTGGGCGATTCGAAGGCAAAGTTGGATTCGCAAACTCAGCTAAGCAATTAAACGATGCCGTACCATCTGATTAGTTGGGCGCAACGGTGGACGATTGGAACTAATTGGAAGGCAAAGTTGGATTTGGGCATTTCGCCTTTTTCTTTTTGTTATTTGTCCCGGCGACCGCTTCACCGCCGCCAGCGAGACCTTTGGCTTTTGCCTTTCTTCTTCCATATAAAGAACAATTTCAGATTCCATTTGAAGGTCTACAGAGATCTTTCCCGACTCCAGACTCCCCCGTTGCTTTGAGAGCGCGAAGACTTGTTTGATCCGGAATCGTTGAAGAAATGGGGATTATGTCTGATATTCGAAGCTATTGGGAGCGGCAATCCATGGGAAGTCTTCGGTATCGTGGCAGCAGCAGCCATCGCAATGCCAGCGGCGCCATCTATAAAAGAAATTCCTTCGCGATTGCTTCTCCCGACGAGAAACGCAGCAAAGCTTTTGCCCGAGGTTTAAAGCTCGCTTCCCCCTTCCTCGTCCTCTTTCATCCGGTTTGAAGCTCGTTTTGCGCTTTTATTTTCTGCCCGATTCTGATCTCTCGCGTCTCTTTCTGTTCTTCCCCACGCCGTTTGCTCTTGGTGCAGAAAGCGTTGTTGCGGGATTTAAAGCAGCTGCCATCGCGGCCGTACTCAGCGCGGTGCCTGTGGTAAGTTTTTTATGATGCCCTTGTGGTAAGGATTTCACCAGTTTATGTGAAAATTGTTCTGTTGTTTCTTATGTCCCAATCTTGAATGGATGAGTTGCTTGCTCCTGATGCTGAAGCTCTAAGTGATGAACCTAGGTGGCCTGGTTGTGTGGGGATCAAGTAGTGTTAATTTTGTGGACACTTTGAGTTGATTGTGCCCTCTTCTGTTGATGGCGTGAGAAGTATGAGGCATATATGGATGGTATATATCTGCGTGTTCATATTCATCACCACTGTAGTGTCATAGAAGTTTTCGAATTGAGGTGCCATGTAAAATAGATACACTATTAACTGCTCTCGTTCTTACGTGAGTGTGTCATCGACGAGAGAGTAGCAAATTGGCATACTTCCTCACCATTCTTCTATATGTTCAGGTAGTAGCTTGTCGCAAGATTCCATGGGCAAAGAGGAACCTAAATCACACTGCTCAAGCGCTCATCATATCCTCTGGTATGACTCTGAACATACACTCTTCACCTTACATGGTTCCCTTGTTAGGCTGTAAACAGTAATGATAGCTAGTGAATGTGTGTGTTCGCTGGGCACAAGCTCACCAATTTGACATGGCGGAATCTCGCTTTAGGTCCTAGATCTCTTGCCACTAGTAGTTACATGGAAAGAAGTTCTGAATGTCCATGAGAGTTGCACTCTGCGATCCTAAAAACCTTCATGAAAAGCACACACCTCACTGTTTTTCCGAACAATGTGATAAAGCCGATTGCCCTTATGCACTGCCATGAGGTGAACTGCACATTAACCAGGTTCCTTGTTAGACTGTAAATACAAATGCTAGCTCGTGAATGAATATCTTCGCCCTATGCAGCCTTTTTGGCACATAACCACGCCGCTTGAGGTCTCCTGTCTCGCTAGTGACCTATATTGCATCTGCTGATTATGTATGGCTGCAAGGGAACGTCAATTTCTGAAAACCCTGGCCAGTCGAGGGATGTACTTGACTTTTGGTGTTTTCCTTCCGGTACTCACACAATGGCTTGTGGTGTCATTTGTTAACAGCATCCATTTCCGCCTTCTTTATCACTGCTGACAAAGCTACTTTGGAGAGCGCAAGAAGCAACACTCACTACGACAAAACAGCTTGAGAAAGGTCAACTTCCCCATTTGTGGCAGGCAGTCCTTTGTAGTTGTGAAGACTCGACTCAGGCAGTTTGGCCATGCTTACCGTGAAATAATAAAACCCTAAGTGTTCGTCTGTAATTTGGCATATCAATGGCCTGATTGTTAGTTTTTTCTACTTGCACACATTTGGGGAAAGCACGTACCTAAATGTTTAATCCAGCGACGAGTTCTCCTACGGCTACATGAACCAAGTTCCTTATTAAGTTGAAGACACATCTCTCCCTTCAACTACGGTGCCTCACTGTAAAATAAATCGGCTCCTACATTCGTTATTTCTCTTTGCCTAACAAGGTGTTTCATTTTACCAGCGAACTACTGGTTTGACCATACCAATGACAAGATGGCAATAATCTTAAAGATGATGGTTCGGAATATTATTGTTTGTGTTTTAGGGTTAGTATGTTGTGATGTCGCGTCTTGTCGCGGAGCGAAGATGGTTTATGAGCATGTATTATGTGGCATGTTACAGTGTTTTGTTAGTATTAGTAGTCTAAAATTAATTTTTTGTTAGCAATTTTGTTAGTAATATTGATTGAGAAGAGATATATGACGGTCGACATCAAATTTAATTTTTTTTGAAAATTTTGGCTAATAAATGAC